AAAAATTTTGATGCAGTTGAAAAGCTTACATCAGTATGTATCAGCATATGACGTTTTATTGAAGTCGGACATGACAAACACTATATGCCTCGGCCATATTCATGGCAGGGCATAAAAAACTTGAATCTACACTATATGAGGATGTTTCCATATCAAAATGACTAACAAGCAAATTCAAAGAATTGTGGTCCCCTGCTTTCCGTGTCCTAGTGGATGGGATGCCATTATTTATGACATATTGTTTCAAATATGCAGGCCTTATCATATGTCATTCAAAAGTAATCGCCAAAGTTAAAATTTTTGAAAATTAGGTAAAACATCAAGGTCAAGGGGTAAAAAAATCATAGCATGCTTGGAAACATCTTGTTACAGGTAATGTACATGTCAAATATAAAAGTCCTATCTCTTCTCAATCAAAAGTTCTAAGGAAATATAACATTTTTGAAAAGTAGGTTAAACTTCAAGGTCAATGTCACAGAGTCAAAAGTCATGATATATTTAGAAAGGTCTTGTCACAGGTACTATACATGTACAATATGAATGCCCTATCTTTTCTCTTTCAAAATGATCATTTAAAATATGTTAATTTTTTTGAAAAGTAGGTCAAACTTCAAGGTCAAGGTCATGGATTCAAAAATCATGGTATGTTTAGAAAGTTCTTGTAGGTAATGCACATGTGAAATATGAAAGCACTATCTCTTATTATTCAGAAGTTATGACCAAGGTTAAATTTATTGTGACAGACGGACAGACTGACAAACGGACAGACTGACAGACAAATGAGATTTAATGTCCCCTAGGTCCCTTTTGTGAAAACGGACGACAATAATGCCCTTGCTGTTCATGAGAAGAAGATTTATGATGGAAAAAATCCCCTGCATTTTTCTATGTAAATCATTGGATCCCCATATGTGGCCCCACCCTACCCAAGTGGGTCATAATTTTAACAAATTTGAAGCTACACTAAGTCTATGTAAAGAAAGTTTCAACTTTTTGGGCCCAGTCAGTGGTTCTTGATAAGACTTTTTTAAAATGATACCACCAAATTTTCACTAATTCTTGATTATCCCCCCTTGAAAGAGGGTGTGACCCTTCACTTGAACAAACTTGAATCCCCTTTACCCGAAGATTCTTTGTGGCAGGGTTGGTTGAAATTGCCCAGCGGTTCTAGTGAAAAAGACAAAAATGTGAAAAGTTTACAGGCGGACAGGTGGATGACAAACAAAATGTGATCAGAAAACCAGAAAAACTCAAGTGAGCTAAAAACTGATGATCACAAGTACTTGGAAAGAGTTACAGTATTTGAAAAGCAGTTTTTTTTTTTCATGCATTGTTTTCAGAAGCTGAAAAGGTATGACTTGTATCCATGTTGAAAAAACTTCACATTTCAGAAAACAGTATGATTAAAAATAGTTAATCAAGGTGCTTTGAGTAGCAAAATAAGCTAAACTGGTATAGCTAATTCAACCACAGAGCTTAGTGAATTTTAAAATGCACAACCTTTTCAACTCTTAATCATTCTTAAAATATTTATATCATCATTTCTGATTCAAGGGAGAACTAGAGATATGATCAGAAGTATATCCGTTGACTAATAAACATGTACATGTATGATTGTGTTTTTTAAGTCATTAATGTTTGTTTGTTGTTAAATATCCCTCTTGGGAATTTTTCACTCATACGGAGACACTACCACTTAAAAATAATGAAGACGTACAAGTCGGATTTGAGGTTAACATTCATTTTAGGAACAATTAAGACGTAAAGAGATAACTCCTTCCCCTTGCCCCTTCCCCTTCCCAGACCCCTGTTTGTTCATGTATGCAAACTAGTCTAATACTTTGGTTTGACATTTAAAAAAATGTGAATTAATGGTCCATCTCTTTGAATGATTTTCATTCCTAATTCTAGGAGGGTACATGGGTTGACCCAAATTCATGAATGAAATGTCAAGTAATCTTATCATTGATGCACTTTTATTTAATTTGATGTAGTCATATTATGGACATTTCCAGTTCATTAAGAGAGTGGGGATGACCTCCAGGGGTTCATAACCTTAAACCATTAGATGTACATAACATAATAACACAAGAAACAAAATTATGTATAGTCAAATGGAAAAGTTTTCTACTATTTAGGAGTCACATGATCATTTGTCATTTCAAGGACAGGGAGCGGCTAGGGAGATTGGAACACCCCCCCCCCCCGGAATTTGCAGAGTTATTTAAATAGGACTATATACTGATTTACAGAAGCAAATAAAAAATGACTTTGGATGCCCTCCCCCTTTAAAAACATGGACCCCACCATCATTGTTTTCATTTTGTTTGTTTGTTTGTTTGAAATTCTGGGCTGGAATTTTTTTGGACCGAGGTGTGGACCCCCCTCCCCCCCCCCCGGAAAAAAATTCCCGGATCTGTGCCTGTAACTGAATGTAATGTCGACAACGGGAGATAACTCTTCAGAATGTGAAATTCGTCTATTGTGGCATCCGATGATCCACTCTCTACCATCGGCTCATACATTCAGTGTCTGAGAGAGAAACGAACAACAACTCTGCATAGGAGATTGCCGATGATCTTTGATCCTTTTTAAACTTTAACCTAACCATTTGCATTTCGGTTTATTTTACCCCAATCTATACTTAAACTTGTACTTACCGACTGTCATAGGTCCTGTCAACTTCATGAAATATAATCCAATTAAAACACAAAATGAATTAATTTCCACTGATATACATGTAACACTGCACCATGTCACATGGCATGTGCAATCTAAAAATGATAATGGTAAAACTAGTACTAGTACTGGTATGGTGACGCAAGCCCAATGTGATGTAGAAATTTTCAAAAAGGTGTTCACATACATGTGCAGTACAAGAACAAATTTTAAATTATCATACGATGTTTAACATAACTTTGCCATCTAGGCCTATTTCCAAAAACAGGCAAATTGTGTGTGTGTGTGTTGGGTGTGGGAGGGGGGGGGGGTGACAAAATTGATTGGGTATGGCTTTTCAAGGAGGTTTTTGCCTAATCAAATACTAAAAAAAGTTTGCACATTTTGATAAATTCATCAAAAACGCTTTCTACTAAAATGATATTATTTGTTGTTGAGAAAATAAATTTAAAAAGTTCCAATTATGGGCCAAAAATTTATATCCCCCCCCCCTTTTATCAAAACCTAATTAACATCATTAATTAAATTCTGTTATTTCAGACTGGTAAAGAATTAAGTATATGAAATGCGTATAAGAGGTTCATGGGTCACATGGTCACCTGAGCATTTTATGCTCGATTTGACGAATACATGTACTGTGTAAATTATAGAATTATTTGGACTTTTTCCTTGGTAAGCCCAATATGAAGGAGTGTGCATTTAGAGGCAAACACCTTAGTGCGGGTATTACTGTCTCATGACAGCATCTAGTTATGTTAGCTGTCTTCAATTTCATAAATAAGAAATATACAAAAAATCTGCAACTGTTAAAAAGTTTATTGCATCAGTTCATTAGTTTAATCTGCCTCAAAAATTGTCAATCTGTAAAAATGAACCTTTTTTTGAATTTGTTTTCGTGTAGTTTCGGAATCCTCCCCATTCTTCCTCTTTTGTCGGTTAAGGAAGTTCGAACAGTCATAAGGTGTGGTGAACAAAAAGCTTAGAACAGCCTATAACCCAATGTGGGGCTCTGGGATAGGTTAATTCTAGTAAAATAAAATAAGATGTTAAATGATGTAACATAAATAAACAAGTAATTGCTTTGGGGTTTTTTTCCAAATTTTTTCTTGATAGGTTTCGGTCCTTTTCTTTTATTGTATAAAGAAACTATAATAATATGTAAGAATATAGATTTTTTAAATAACTAACAATGTGTAAGTGAGCTCCATGAGAAACTCGTATATTTTTAAATAAGAACTATTCACTCTGTGCTACTCGATACAGGTATTTTTGTCTACAATGAGTTTTTATTGTCTATGCATCTCCAAGAATTTAATCAATTAAGTGTGTTTGCTTGTATTACGCCATTACTAGTAAGTTCTTGTCTAGGTTATTGACCTGGAATGTATACATAGTTCTTGTATTATTTCAGCTAAATACAATTTACAAGTACATGTACTTTTGAAGACAATGATCTAAATTCAGATCCAAATTTTTAAACAGTTACTACACTCCCTTGGATTTCATTTCTAGAACATGCAAGCATCAATGGCATGTTTTATTATTTCGTGTAAACACATATTAAGAAGACAATCAAAACATTACAATTAAGATAATAAACTTAAAATGCGTTGATAATTTCAGTTGATGTCTATAAAAAAAAATTCCTATTATCTCTACATACTACATGCATAGACTAGAAATTAAAAAAAATGTATGAATTACTAAATTACTAAATGTATGTAGCCTGGAGTCACTGATGGAGACGGAGATCAGTAAGCCTTTTTTAAAGACTAAAAGCTAATCGCAGCCCAATTTTCTGAATTCAAAAGGAGATGCTGAAACCTATCTCTGGCTTTTTTTACTTTCCTTTTTAGAGTACAAAATTTATACGTATATGTAAAAGAGTTCTTGTATTGCATTAAAATGAACTTCAAAACACTCACTGTCTCTGTCACAGTTCATTGCAAATTAAAAAAAAGCTTCAATTTCATATAAGGGTCATTCTTCTTTCGATTTCTCTAGTGCTTGCTAACATAATTAATAAAAATGAGCTGTTCATTTTGCTTTTCGTATGATATACTTCCTACGCCATCTGCACTTGCTTTAATATGTAATTCAAAAAGCTGGAGTTTTGAAGACATCTCCACTCTTTAAAAGTATGCGATAAAAAGTATCAAAATTATCGAGTAAGTCGACTGCATAAATACTTGCACACCTTGTACACAGTGAAAGCTTTATCGATCTCTCTTCATTGTCTTTTTCCAGTAGGAGAAATTACTCGCATTTAAATTGTAAATGAGGTCGATTGCACGGATACTTGCACACTGAAAACGGGTAAAATGGCGACGGTTCCTGATCCTCGCGGACAACATTTTGTTACGTGTGAAAGCTGTGAAGACAATGTCCAGTTCTACTGCAGACCGTGCAAAATACGACTTTGTGTTAAATGTGTGTCCCCTCATCTGGAAACTAACGCACCGGACCATAATATTATATATTATCACAAACGATTTGATACGCCAACTAAATATTTTTACGACCCATTCACTATAAGAAAAATACCTGGTGGAAATCAAACGATGCACTGCATTAAATATGCCGGCAATGACCAGATATATTATTGTTCGCAAGGGTCGTTCGATATTGAACTTTTTCTTACAGATGGGACTTCAGTTTACACTTTCTCATCACAAAGCTTGCCTAGCCATTTGACCCCATATGAGGACGGTGTGTTGTACACAGTCGCTGAAGAAATTAGAAAAATCAATTTTGAAGGAGATGAAACATTTTTACACATTGATGGATGGCTGAGAGGTATTGAATTTGTAGAACCTAATTTCATATTTTTCTGCAACTCTTCCAAAGTTGAAAAGTACACGACTGGGGGAGAAAGGCTTTTAAAAATTAAATACAACGACCAAGGACAGCCGATATATAGTTCAATCAATAGAAATGGGGATATCTGTGTGTCTGAGTACGATGCCACCGGCTACGACGACCCTGTAGTTACTGTGGTTGATGAGTTTGGGAAATACCGGTTTTCATATTATCCAGATCCTTCCTCTTGGCCAATGGATCTCTGTTGTGACTCATGTTGCCACATCATCATAGCTTCTAGCACAATACACGTGATAGGTAAATATGGAAACTTCCTCAGATACCTAGCTTATGATGGGATTAAACATCCTTGTTCTGTGACTATTGATAGTGAAGACAATCTGTTTGTTTCTGAAATGTCCGATGGGCACATAAGAATGGTGCAATATCTGTACAAACCAGTTCTTAAAAGTAATAATTCATAG